CCAGCCTCAGGGACAAACCAGCGTCAGATACTAGAGGGGGACACGGAGCCATTTGTCAATGCCTGTCCTGAGGACAAGGAACTAAGACATGCTCCACACTCAGGTATCTCGCTAATGGCCCCAGTCACCTGTGCAGCCGGGGACCTCTCAACATGGCCAGAGGGGAATTCATCACACTGAATGAAACAGTGACACCCTGCAGTGTCAGGCCCAAGGATGCTCCAGTTATGTAGAAGCTCGGGGACCCAGAGGAGGTGACGGGTAGGTCCGCCCCTCTCCCAGCTCCCCACTGTCACCCCACTCAGAATGGAGCCCCATAGCTACAGGAGTCAGGCTGGGACGTCCCTTGGTTCAGGAGCTTGATGGCACCTGCATGGGCCTCTCTGGGTTCTGCCAATGAGGCAGCGATGACAGGACCTGGGCCAGACATGTACAGCTGCCCCCACTCTCACCCACTCCTCCCCGGGCCTGCTGTCCCTGCCCTGAGCCCAGCACCAAGCTCCCAGGAGGCTTAGGGAGTCCCCAGGGCTTGCGCTGAGCACCTGGGACAGGATGCCATGTATGAGGAAGGGCCCGCCTTGGGCCTTCTCCTCCCACCTTCAAATACAAAGTTCATGCAGAGGGACAGCGCGGGCTGGGTATGCGAAGCAGGGTTATTTACCTGTTTCCGCTTCAGCAGTCGCAGGCGAGGTGTCTGCAAATGGCAACAACAGGGAAGACTAGAGTCAGACTCAGAGGACAAAAGACCAGGAATCAAGGCACGTCAGGACCAGGTTGATGGGGACGTAGCAGATACCAGGTGGAAATCACTCTTGTCAGCCCCAGAGAGAGGGAGCAGTAGCTCATCCTTAAGCATCAGAGCCCTGAACTGTTCCATGAACTTCCTAGATCCCTTCTGGTCCTTGTCATCTGTCCTGCTTTCCTAAGGCTGACATACAGACACTGCCCAGGATGGCCGCCATCCAGGCAAGAACACCTGCCTGTAGGACCATCTCCGCCAAGGGATTGAAAACCGCTCTGGCTCTGAGCCTCTGCAACCTGTGAACTCTGCTTCTAAGCACCTTAAGTAAACCTAATGTTGCTACTAAAAAAGAAGACAAAGAGGAAAAAAAAAAGAAAAGCCCCTTCTTCTTCCCTCACTGAATTCCCCGGTGGCTTGCCATTTCTCACATTCCGAACTATAATGCTTCTTTCCATACCCAATTCAACGCTACATATTTAGAAATCGCTTTGTGTAGTGTCTTTTGTTGTAGGTTGTCACTGATATGGTGAAAACAATGCCCCTCTGGCTCCTGCCACATGCACCCCTGAGTGTGCCCACGTCTCCCACCCCACAAGCTCAACCTGCACAGAGACCGTGCTGGACGCCCTGCTCTCTCCACCTGCGATGTCCCCATGCAGTTGAAAGCCTTTGCTCCCTCCTTCCACTCACCACGCACTGGCCGACCCTCTGACAACATCGCCCACTCTCTGACACTTGGCCCGGAAATCTCAGGGACCCAGCGAGCCACCCAGGGCTCCATCAGGTCTCCGGTGACCAGAGCACCACTGACATTTACTGGTGCTCAGTCTCCCCAGGCACTGCCCAGCGTCTCTTGGAGGCAGACGGGGCCCTGCACAGGCGGGGCTGTTTCCAGGAGTGAGGCCGGAAGCATCAGCCTGCACTGACTTTGCCTTCAACGCAGGGTCAGAGCGCACGGACATAACAACTCAGTAGGTCATTTCAGCCCTAAAGGGGAAAGGGCCAAAGCTCCTTGAACATGTGGCCACTTTTCTGAACCAGAAGACATGTCCACGGGCCAGTGTCGCTGTCCGTACTGCACACGGAGGTGGACGACAGGAAGGCAGAAGCCCTCTGGACCCTAATGCCTGTGACTGTCACTGGTGCAGTGGGGGACATAACATGCTCCAGAGGATCTGCATGGAGGGCAGGTGGGTCTGTGGACTGGCAGGCAGGGGTGAGTGTGGGAAAGGGAAGGGGCGTCTCAGGGACGACACTGGGGCTCACCTGGCAGGTCCGTGGTCGGGGACTGGGACGAGCCTGTGGAAAAAAGAGAGGGAGGGTCACACACAGCACTCTGGGCCTCAGCTAGAACCGCAGGCTGAAGAGCCTTGGGGGTCACACGCTGAGCTGAGGCTTGTTTCCTATGGGCTGACACGTGCGTGCCGGTGCCCATTGTCACCCCTAGGCCTCACAGAGCTGCTCCCCACATCACCACCCGCAGGCTGCACCCCTGGACCTGACACTTGCCCTTCAGAAACACAAAGGCCACTGCTAAGCCCAGGACAGGCCACAGAGCTGGGTCACACCAGGGAGCGGCAGTAGCCGTGACCCTTGGCAATGACTGCGCAAAGATGCGACTTTGCACCCTCCATGGCCGTGATCCTGAGGCTGGATGGGGAAATTGGAATACCCTTCATGTGATCACACTCTGGAACCCACTGTCCACGTCCCTGATGAGCACTGGGTTTGTTACCAACCTGCCATCCTGCAACCCTCACCCCAGGCCCTACTGCCCTTCCTGGCTGTCCTGAGGAAGCTATTGGCACTTGAGTCCTGTCCTCTGCCTCAGCAGCTGGGAGCACTCACAGTAGTGCAGTCTCCAAGGACGGGGGACAATGTACCAACGGGATCCCAAAGCTGCTGTCCCTGAGATGCTGCCTCAGGTAACATTGGGGTGGAAGGTGGCCGGTGTTCCTGTAGCAAATGAAAGGCTCATGGTTTCTGCCCTCGGTGACCTGGACCCTGGGTCCTAAGGCCAGTGACCAGTTACCGGCAAGCCAAAGCCGGCCACTGCTTGCAGCTGGGGGACATGAACACCCCAGGCTGTGTCCTTGACTAGGCTCCTGACATTACACCTCTGGGCCAGCTGTCCCCAGGTCATCTCTAGGGCTTCCAAGTAACTTTGACAGGTCTGGGGGTGGGACTCTGAGGTGAGAAACTTGTTTTCTCTGAATACAGTCTGTCGCAGGAATCGGCCCCAGTGATCTTCAATGCCAACCTGAGCAGATGACACCGGCGTCCTCACTATGGCCACAGTTATGGGAGAGCCAGCCTCTGTGGGGGCAGCTCCACAGGTAGGACTCGTGCCCTGAGCAGCTCACGTCATCCAGGACAATGGGGCCTGAGCCCTGGCCAAACCGGGCATTTCCTGGGGCCGACACGGCCCAGCCACATTCCAGCTGCCTGCAGACCACGTTGGCGTCATTAATGTTCCAGCCGTCGTCACACACGGTGCCCCAGGAGCCTCGGTACAGGACCTCCACCCGGCCCTGACACCGGTCACCTCCATTCACCAGCCTCAGGGCCAAACCGCCATCAGTTCCTAGGGGGAGATAGGAAAACTCAGTCTGACCAGTGTCCCCTGAAGCAACATGTCCTTAGGTCAGAGTAGGATTGGGATTTTTCCCAGCAGGGCAGGGCACCTAGGTCTCGGGTTAATGGTCTCTAGCAGCGTAGGCGGTGCCTGACTGGCCGAAGCCAGTGGTGCATCATCGTGTCACCTTCAAGGGTGCGTTTCCAGCCCTGGCTGGGGACTCAGCTGTGCATGTTCTGTCACTGAGTGAGCCCAGTGCCCAGCAACTCCATGGCCTAGCCAGGCCCCCACATACAGGGGAGCAGGGGAAAGCCCCGAGCCTGGATCCCCAGTGACTGCTGGGCTCTAGCTGTGTCCCTGGGGCAGGTGACACCACAGACAGGTTTCCAGCCGCACCCGAGGAGCACCCCTAGGACCTGGTTCTCTGACTCCACCTAGGGCAACTGACCCGGGGCTAAGGGAACACTCCAGTGGACCTGAGGGTTGATCACATGTCACTTTCAAATCAAAATCTTCACCTGAATCTGAAACAAAGCCTGCACCCACTGACAACCATGAACTTCAGGGACACAGTGCAGAAGGACCTGTTACTGACACTTTGCTATACCTACTTAGAGGTGACCATGGCCTGAGAGTGTAAGAAAAGAAGAAAATAACAGAGTTAGGCCTCCAGGCAGGAAGGTCGCATGCCAGATGCACCACTGCAGCAGGTGCTGCGACGCTCGGTGCCCCCGTGGACCCCGCCCTGGTAGGCCTGTGAGCCGGCCTAAGTGACTGACCGTGCTGTGCTTCCTCTGGCCTCAGGTGTAGCATCTATCAAGTGAGGCCTGTGGTCTTCCATAACATATGCAAAAGGCCGCAAGCACATGACAAGATGCTCAAATCATTAGCAATTTGGGGAAATGCAACCCAAAATCAAAAGACATGCCACCTAATGCACCCCAGTGTGGCCGAAGGGACAGACACGTGATGCAAGTGCCGGTGGGGATGGGGACACAGCAGAGCCCCCAGGCAGCGCAGGAGGGAAGGTGAGTGGTGCAGCTGCCGTGACACCTGTTCAGTGTCACTGACACTAAGGGAAAGAAGCCAGACGCAAACACAATGGTCCCATTGCAAAGGAAATGTCCAGAACAGGGAAATCCAGATAGACAGAAAGCAGATTAGCGGTTGCTGGGAACTGGGGAAAGGAGGATGGGGTGTGATGGTTACTGCGTGTGCTTGTTCAGTATGGGATGATTGAGAAACAGGAAATAGATGGTGGTGACGACTGAACAACACTGTGAATGTCATTAATCCCACTGAGACGTGCACATTAAAATTGCTATAAGGATAAATTTTATTTATCCTTGCACATTTCATCACAATAAAAGAGGGAAATATTATTAATGAGGACTCCACTAAATACACACACACACACACAGTCAAATACATGCAGCTGATTTGTAATTTCAGATGAATAAGAACTAAAAATCTTTTTGAGGACTTAAAAAAATCGACCCCTAGACAAGCTGATCATATGAGCCCATGAACATCCCTCCTGCGGCGTCTGTTCTCTGACATGGACAATTCCGGCGGCCTAGCTGGCTGGCAAACCGTGCTCATCACCAGCCCTGGCCCACGAGGCAAAGGGATGGCTGAGGGTGTTTCGCTGCTACCTGGGGCATTTCTCCCCGCAGGCGGTGGCTCTCCTGATGTTGGGTCTGGTCTGAGAACTAGCAAAGCCCAACGCTGGCAATGCTCTCCCAGAAGCGTGGGGAAAGCTCAGGAAATGCGTGTGTTCCCCTGTGCTGACTCACTGAGTCCCGGATCCTGGTCTCACGGCAGGGCCACAGTGAGGAAGAGCTGTGACTCCTGCCGTCCCAGAGGAAGACGGCAACAGCCTTGATGGGCATATGGAAGCCCCTCAGTCCCCCACGGACTCTGCACTGACAGCTCAGACCCTGACCCCGGCCACAGAGGGCAGCGCCAGAGCAGAGAACCACAGGGGTTGACACCCAGGGACAGGGACAGTCCCTCCTGGGGGTGGACATGGGGTGGGAGAAAGCACTTGTTTCCGAGAAGGCAGAATTGTCACCCACAGGTCTTGGCACAGACTGACTCTTACTCCTTCAGGGATATAGACTTGGGGCTGACAACTGCTGCCTTCTCCCCAAGTGTAAAAAGCAAGCAAACAGGGACGCCCACACAGATCACAGGGTAGGGATTGGAGAAGCCTAGGGGAGTAGACTCACGACTGCTGGATACAGCTGTACCTGAAGCTCCAGATCAATTACTAAACATTCTAGATTCATGAACCAATGAATTCCATTCTAGCCTAAGACAGTTTGACTTGTGTTCCTGGTCCTTGCAAACAGCAGCATCCTGGCTAATCCATTTGCCTACCAGCACAATTCACAACCAGTGAGAAAGGGAACCCTCCTCACTAGGGGATGTCCAGAGCAGCCAGAGGCTTCAGGCAAAACCCAGGGATGTCCCCTAGGCCTGCAGAGTGCAGAGCTGCAGGCTGATGTTTGGCAGGACGCAAAGACACTTACCATGGGAAGGAGATGTCGTGGGCCACCACCCTACAGGAAAGACACAGCAAGATTAGAGAGGAAGGGGCATGGTGACCAGGCTGGGTCTAGTGACCTGTGATTTTGAGCTGGGACAGTAGACACACAGAAGCTCTGGGGCTGGGGGAGGAAGAGGACCCTTCTAGGGAGCCTGCAGTGAGCAAGGCCATGGCCTTGAATGTCCACGACCAGGGAAACAGGCGGCACATTCCCCAAAGGACAATGACACTTCTCTCCTGACAGATGGTTTGCTGGTACAAGCACCAGTCACTGTTTGTTTGGGCTTAAGGACAAGAAAAAACTGTGTACTACCCTGGTCAGCCACCCGGGGGACAGAGGATGATTTCCAGGACCTGTGACCCAGGACAGAACCTCCTTCTCCCAACACAACGGCCCAGTGAGCCCCGTGCGGCAACCCCCTCCCCAGCCAGAAGTTTCTCATTTACCCACCGACAAAGGAGCATCTACCTGCTGTGAGCTCAGCTGCACTCCCCACCCACCCTAAAAGATCAGGGAATGTTCTGGGCAGCGGCAGGAGTGCCCAGAAGCCTCATGCAGCTGCTGACCTGGGCTTGGCAGAGGAGCAGGGAAAGAGGAGACACCCGACAGGTGGGGACAGCAAGACTCACCTGGCCCGGTCGTGGACGAGACACCTGTGAGAAAGAGGAGGGCACATCAGACACACTGCACAGGTGGCAGCAAGACGAGGACAAGGGTGGGGACACGGAGCCGGGAAACACTCAGCCCACGCTTGTTCCCTGCCTCGTAGGCTGTGGCCTTGTCATCCAAACCCATGCAAAGATGTCCCTGGGGAGTGGCCAGGCAGGTCCTACTGACCATTTCTAAATCAAGGTGACTGACTGTGTCAGGATGTGCAGAGCGGCTTCACCCTGAACCAACCCTCTCCCTGCAGGCTTAGCGGTTGACCCAGTCAGGAAGCCTCAGGAGGCCAGCGCCAGGCCTATCCTAGGAGTGCTCCTCCAGCCCAGGACAAAACTGTACCTGGGATCTGCCCGCAGGCCACCAGGGGCCCCCTTCCCACAGCAGACTAGGTGCAGGGGCAACATGGCGCAGCTCTCAGAGGGAGCCTCAGTACCAGACACAGGACCTGCTGCCCCAGACAGGATGGGCACACACACCTGTCTGCATGCCCTGCCCAGGTGCCTCCACTCTGACACCTCCTTACAAGTGCCTGAGATGAGAGCCCCACACAGGGCAGGAGCCTGCATTCCTGGGACTGAGACTCCCTCTTGCGAGACATGAAGGCTACTGCTTCCTCCGGGACGGGCCACGGGAGCCTCTGCATCTACCCAGGGAGCAGCGACAGCAACCCAGAGCAATGACTGCACCAACACCAGTATCCACCCTCTAGATCCATGATCCGGAAGTTGGAGGATAATTCCAGAACAGCCTCTATGTGATAGAAATCTGCAATCCACTGCATACCTCCCTCGTGAGCACTGGGTTTGGTACCTTCCTGCCATCCAGCCATCCTGACCTCCTGTCCCTAAGGCCCTACACCACTTTCCTGAGTCAGCTATTGGCACCTGAGTCCTGTCCTCTGTCTCAGCAGCTGGGAATACTCAGAGTACTACAGTCTCCACGACAGGGGGCGCTGTGCCAACCAGATCCAAAAGTTGCTGTCCCTGAGATGCAGCCTCAGGTAACATTGGGGGTGGGAGGTGGCACATGTTCCTGTAGCAAATGAAAGGCTCATTGTTTCTGCCCTCAGTGACCTGGACCTTGGGTCCTAAGGCCAGAGACCAGTTAATGGCAAGCCAATGTCGGATACTGCTTGCACTTTGGGGACCAGTACACTCTGCTGTTTCCTGACTTGGATCTCTGACTTGGCGCCACCAAGCCACCTGACCCCAGCCAGTCTTCAGAGACTCCAGGTAACCTGGGGTGCCTAGCAGGAACACTGGGGTTTTGAAATATCTTCTCCCAGGCATTGTCCCACGAATGGGCCCCAGTGATCTTCCATGCCCACCTGAGCAGATGACACCGGCGTCCTCACTGTGCTGGCAGTTATGGGAGAGCCAGCCTCTGTGGGGGCAGCTCCACAGGTAGGACTCGTGCCCTGAGCAGCTCACGTCATCCAGGACAATGGGCCCTGAGCCCTGGCCAAACCGGGCACTTCCTGGGGCCGACCTGGCCCAGCCACAGCCCAGCTGCCTGCAGACCACGTTGGCGTCATTGGTGTCCCAGCTGTCGTCACACACGGTGCCCCAGGAGCCTCGGTACAGGACTTCCACCCGGCCCTGACACCGGTCACCTCCATTCACCAGCCTCAGGGCCAAACCAGTATCAGATACTAGAGGGGGACACGGAGCCATTTGTCAATGCCTGTCCTGAGGACAAGGAACTAAGACATGCTCCACACTCAGGTATCTCGCTAATGGGCCCAGTCACCTGTGCAGCCAGGGACCTCTCAACATGGCCAGAGGGGAATTCATCACACTGAATGAAACAGTGACACCCTGCAGTGTCAGGCCCAAGGATGCTCCAGTTATGTAGAAGCTCGGGGACCCAGAGGAGGTGACGGGTAGGTCCACCCCTCTCCCAGCTCCCCACTGTCACCCCACTCAGAATGGAGCCCCATAGCTACAGGAGTCAGCTGGGAAGTCCCTTGGTTCAGGAGGTTGGTAGCACCTGCATGGGCCTCTCTGGGTTCTGCCAATGAGGCAGCGATGACAGGACCTGGGCCAGACACGTGCAGCTGCCCACACTCTCACCCACTCCTCCCCGGTCTGCTGTCCCTGCCCTGAGCCCAGGACCAAGCTCCCAGGAGGGAGTCCCCAGGGCTTGCCCTGAGCACCTGGGACAGGATGCCAGGTATGAGGAAGGGCGCGCCTTGGGCCTTCTCCTCCCACCTTCAAATACAGAGTTCATGCAGAGGGACAGCGTGGCTGGGTATGCGAAGCAGGGTTATTTACCTGTTTCCACTTCAGCAGTCACAGGCGAGGTGTCTGTAAATGGCAACAACAGGGAAGACTAGAGTCAGACTCAGAGGAGAAAAGACCAGGAATCAAGGCACGTCAGGACCAGGTTGATGGGGACGTAGCAGATACCAGGTGGAAATCACTCTTGTCAGCCCCAGACAGAGGGAGCAGTAGCTCATCCTTAAGCATCAGAGCCCTGAACTGTTCCATGGACTTCCTAGATCCCTTCTGGTCCTTGTCACATGTCCTGCTTTCCTAAGGCTGACATACAGACACTGCCCAGGATGGCCGCCATCCAGGGAAGAACACCTGCCCGTAGGACCATCTCCGCCAAGGGATTCAAAACCGCTCTGCCTCTGAGCCTCTGCAACCTGTGAACTCTGCTTCTAAGCACCTTAAGTAAACCTAACGTTGCTACTGAAAAAGAAGACAAAGAGAAAAAAAAGAAATGCCCCTTCCTCTTCCCTCACGGAATTCCCCGGTGGCTTGCCATTTCTCACATTCCGAACTATAATGCTTCCTTCCATGCCCAATTCAACGCTACATATTTAGAAATCACTTCGTCTAGTGTCTTTTGTTGTAGGTTGTCCCGGGGACAGTGAAAACAATGCCCCTACTGGGTCCTGCCACAGGCACCCCGGAGTGTGCCCACGTCTCCCGCCCACAAGCTCATCCTGCACAGAGGCCGTGCTGGACGTCCAGCTCTCTCACCTGCCATGTCCCCATGCCGTTGAAAGCTTTTGCTTTCTCCTTCCACTCACCATGCACTGGCGACCCACTGACAACATCGCCCACACTCTGACACTTGGTCCAGAAACCAAAGAGAACCAGGGACCCAGGCTCAGACCCTGACCTCGGCCACAGAGGGCAGTGCCAGAGCAGAGAACCTACAGGAGACGACACCTAGGCACAGGGACAGTTCCTTCCTGGGGGTGGACATGGATGGGAGAAAGAGCTTGTTTCTGAGAAGGCAGAATTGTCACCCACAGGTCTTGGCACAGACTGACTCTTACTCCTTCAGGGATATAGACTTGGGGCTGACAACTGCTGCCCTTTCCCCAAGTGTAAAAAGCAAGCAAACAGGGACGCCCACACAGATCACAGGGTAGGGATTGGAGAAGCGTAGGGGAGTAGACTCACGACTGCTGGATACAGCTGTACCTGAAGCTCCAGATCAATTACTAAACTTTCTAGATTCATGAGCCAATGAATTCCATTCTAGCCTAAGACAGTTTGACTTGTGTTCCTGGTCTTTGCAAACAGCAGCATCCTGGCTAATCCATTGGCCTACCAGCACAATTCACAACCGGGGAGAAAGGGAACCCTCCTCACTAGGGGATGTCCAGAGCAGCCAGAGGCTTCAGGCAAAACCCAGGGATGTCCCCTAGGCCTGCAGAGTGCAGAGCTGCAGGCTGATGTTTGGCAGGACGCAAAGACACTTACCATGGAAAGGAGATGTCGTGGGCCACCACCCTGCAGGAAAGACACAGCAAGATTAGAGAGGAAGGGGCATGGTAACCAGGCGGGGTCTAGTGACTTGTGATTTTGAGCTGGGACAGTGGACACAAGAAGCTCTGGGGCTAGGGGAGAAAGAGGACCCTTCTAGGGAGCCTGCAGTGAGCAAGGCCATGGCCTTGAATGTCCATGACCAGGGAAACAGGCGTCACATTCCCCAAAGGACAATGACACTTCTCTCCTGACAGATGGTTTGCTGGTACAAGCACCAGTCAGTGTTTGCTCGGGCTTAAGGACAAGAAAAAACTGTGTACTACCCTGGTGAGCCACCGGGGGACAAGGATGATTTCCAGGACCTGTGACCCAGGACAGAACCTCCTTCTCTCAACACAACGGCCTAGTAAGCACCGTACGGCAACCCCCTCCGCAGCCAGAGGGTTCTCATTATCCCACCCACATAGGAGCATCTACCTGCTGTGAGCTCAGCTGCACTCCCCACACACCCTAAAAGATCAGGGAATGTTCTGGGCAGCGGCAGGAGTGTGCAGAGGCCTCATGCAGCTGCTGACCTGGGCCTGGGGAGAGGAGCAGGGAAGGAGGAGACACCTGACAGGTGGGGACAGCAGGACTCACCTGGCCCGGTCGTGGACGAGACACCTGTGAGAAAGAGGAGGGCACATCAGATACACTGCACAGGTGGCAGCAAGACGAGGACAAGGGTGGGGACACGGAGCCGGGAAACACTCAGCCCACGCTTGTTCCCTGCCTCGTAGGCTGGGGCCTTGTCATCCAAACCCATGCAAAGATGTCCCTGGGGAGTGGCCCTGGCAGGTCCTACTGACCATTTCTAAATCAAGGTGACTGACTGGTCAGGATGTGCAGAGCCGCTTCACCCTGAACCAACCCTCTCCCTGCAGGCTTAGCGGTTGACCCAGTCAGGGAGCCTCAGGAGGCCAGCGCCAGGCCTATCCTAGGAGTGCTCCTCCAGCCCCGGACCCAACTATACCCGGGCTCTGCCCGCAAGCCACCAGGGGACGCCCTTCCCACAGCCGACTAGGTGCAGGGGTAACATGGCACAGCTCTCAGAAGGAGCCCCAGTCCCAGATGCAGGCCTTGCAGCCCCAGGCAGGACAAGCACACACACCTGTCTGCATGCCCAGCCCAGGTGCCTCCACTCTGACACCTCCTTACTGGGGCCTGAGCTGAGAGCCCCACACAGGCAGGAGCCTGCACTCCTGGACCTGAGACTCCCTCTTGAGAGATATGAAGGCCACTGCTTTGTCTTGGACAGGCCACGGGAGCCTCTGCATCAACCCAGGGGGCAGCGACAGCAACCCAGAGCAATGACTGCACCAACCCCCAGTATCCACCCTATCGGTCCATGATCCGGAAGTTGGAGGATAATTCCAGAACAGCCTCTATGCGATAGAAATCTGCAATCCACCGCATACCTCCCTCGTGAGCACTGGGTTTGGTACCTTCCTGCCATCCAGCCACCCTGACCTCCTGTCCCTAAGGCCCTACACCACTTTCCTGAGTCAGCTATTGGCACCTGAGTCCCATCCTCTGTCTCAGCAGCTGGGAATACTCAGAGTACTACAGTCTCCAAGGACAGGGGGCGCTGTGCCAACCGGATCCCAATGCTGCTGTCCCTGAGATGCAGCCTCAGGTAACATTGGGGATGGGAGGTGGCAGATGTTCCTGTAGCAAATGAAAGGCTCATTGTTTCTGCCCTCAGAGACCTGGACCCTGGGCCCTAAGGCCAGTGACCAGCTAATGGCAAGCCAATGCCTGACGCTGCTTGCACTTTGGGGACCAGTACACTCTGCTGTTTCCTGACTTGGATCTCTGACTTGGCGCCACCAAGCCACCTGACCCCAGCCAGTCTTCAGAGACTCCAGGTAACCTGGGGTGCCTAGGCAGAAACACTGGGGTTTGAAATATCTTCTCCCAGACATTGTCCCAATATGGGCCCAGTGATCTTCTATGCCCACCTGAGCAGATGACACCGGCGTCCTCACTGTGCTGGCAGTTATGGGAGAGCCAGCCTCTGTGGGAGCAGCTCCACAGGTAGGACTCGTGCCCTGAGCAGCTCACGTCATCCAGGACAATGGGGCCTGAGCCCTGGCCAAACCGGGCACTTCCTGGGGCCGACACGGCCCAGCCACAGCCCAGCTGCCTGCAGACCACGTTGGCATCATTGGTGTCCCAGCTGTCGTCACACACGGTGCCCCAGGAGCCTCGGTACAGGACTTCCACCCGGCCCTGACACCGGTCACCTCCATTCACCAGCCTCAGGGCCAAACCAGCGTCAGATACTAGAGGGGGACACGGAGCCATTTGTCAATGCCTGTCCTGAGGACAAGGAACTAAGACATGCTCCACACTCAGGTATCTCGCTAATGGGCCCAGTCACCTGTGCAGCCAGGGACCTCTCAACATGGCCAGAGGGGAATTCATCACACTGAATGAAACAGTGACACCCTGCAGTGTCAGGCCCAAGGATGCTCCAGTTATGTAGAAGCTCGGGGACCCAGAGGAGGTGACGGGTAGGTCCACCCCTCTCCCAGCTCCCCACTGTCACCCCACTCAGAATGGAGCCCCATAGCTACAGGAGTCAGGCTGGGAAGTCCCTTGGTTCAGGAGGTTGGTAGCACCTGCATGGGCCTCTCTGGGTTCTGCCAATGAGGCAGCGATGACAGGACCTGGGCCAGACACGTGCAGCTGCCCCCACTCTCACCCACTCCTCCCCGGTCTGCTGTCCCTGCCCTGAGCCCAGGACCAAGCTCCCAGGAGGGAGTCCCCAGGGCTTGCCCTGAGCACCTGGGACAGGATGCCAGGTATGAGGAAGGGCGCGCCTTGGGCCTTCTCCTCCCACCTTCAAATACAGAGTTCATGCAGAGGGACAGCGTGGCTGGGTATGCGAAGCAGGGTTATTTACCTGTTTCCGCTTCAGCAGTCCAGGCGAGGTGTCTGTAAATGGCAACAACAGGGAAGACTAGAGTCAGACTCAGAGGAGAAAAGACCAGGAATCAAGGCACGTCAGGACCAGGTTGATGGGGACGTAGCAGATACCAGGTGGAAATCACTCTTGTCAGCCCCAGACAGAGGGAGCAGTAGCTCATCCTTAAGCATCAGAGCCCTGAACTGTTCCATGGACTTCCTAGATCCCTTCTGGTCCTTGTCACATGTCCTGCTTTCCTAAGGCTGACATCTAGACACTGCCCAGGATGGCCGCCATCCAGGGAAGAACACCTGCCCGTAGGACCATCTCCGCCAAGGGATTCAAAACCGCTCTGCCTCTGAGCCTCTGCAACCTGTGAACTCTGCTTCTAAGCATCTTAAGTAAACCTAACGTTGCTACTAAAAAAGAAGACAAAGAGAAAAAAAAAAAGAAAAGCCCCTTCCTCTTCCCTCACTGAATTCCCCAGTGGCTTGCCATTTCTCACATTCTGAACTATAATGCTTCTTTCCATGCCCAATTCAACGCTACATATTTAGAAATCACTTTGTCTAGTGTCTTTTGTTATAGGTTGTCACTGATATGGTGAAAACAATGCCCCTTCTGGGTCCTGCCACATGCACCCCTGAGTGTGCCCAGGTCTCCCGCCCACAAGCTCATCCTGCACAGAGACCGTGCTGGATGTCCAGCTCTCTCACCTGCCATGTCCCCATGCAGTTGAAAGCCTTTGCTCCCTCCTTCCACTCACCATGCACTGGCCGACCCTCTGACAACATCGCCCATTTCACTCTGACACTTGCCCGGAAATCTCAGGGACCAGCGAGCCACCCAGGGCTCCATCAGGTTCTCCGGACCAGAGCACCACTTGACATTTACTGGTGCTCAGTCTCCCCAGGCACTTGCCCAGCCTCTCTTGGAGCCAGACGGGCCGTGCACAGGCGGGGCTGTTTCCAGGAGGAGCCGGAAGCATCAGCCTGCACTGACTTTCCTTCAACGCAGGGTCAGAGCGCCACGGACATAACAAACTCAGTAGGTCTTTCAGCCCTAAAGGGGAAAGGGGGGGGCGCCAAAGCTCTTGAACATGTGCCACTTTTCTGAACCAGAAGACATGTCCAAACGGCCAGTGTCGCTGTCCGTACTGCACACGGAGGTGGACGACAGGAAAGGCAGGAAGCCCTCTGGACCCTAATGCTGTTGACTGTCACTGGTGCAGTGGGGGACATAAACATTGTCCAGAGGATCCTGCATGGAGGGCAGGTGGGTCTGTGGACTGGCAGGCAGGGATGAGTGGGAAAAGGGATAGGGGCGTCTCAGGGACAACACTGGGGCTCACCTGGCAGGTCCGGGTCGGGACTGGGACGAGCCTGTGGAGAAAAGAGAGGGAGGGTCACAACACAGCACTCGGGCCTCAGCTAGAACCGCAGGCTGAAGGAGCTTGGGGGTCACACGCTGAGCTGAGGCTTGTTCTCCTATGGGGCTGCACGTGCCGTGCGTTGCCCGATTTGTACCCCTAGGCCTCACAGAGCTGCATCCCCACATCACCACCGCAGGCTGCACCCCTGGACATGACGCTTGGCTCTTCAGAAACACCAAAGGCCACTGCTAAGCCAGGACAGGCCACAGAGCTGGTCCACACCAGGGAGCGGCTAGCCTGACCCTTGGCAATGACTGCGCAAAGATGCGACTTTGCACCCTCCGACGGCCGTGATCCTGAGGTGGGATGGGAAATCGGATACCCTTCATGTGATCACACTCTGGAACCCACTGTCCACGTCCCTGATGAGCACTGGGTTGTTACCAACCTGCCATCCTGCAACCCTCACCCCAGGCCCTACTGCCCTTCCTGGCGTCCTGAGGAAGCTTTGGGCCACTTGACTCCTGTCCTCTTGCCTCAGCAGCTGGGAGCACTCACTGTAGTGCAGTCTCCGAAGGACGGGGGACAAATTGTACCAACTGTTTTGATTCAAAGCTGCTGTCCCTGATTGTGCTGCCTCAGGTTAACATTTGGTGGGATAGGTGCGGGTGTTCCTGTCGCAAATGAAAGGTCTCATGGTTTCTGCCCTCGGTGACTTTTTGGACCCTGGGTCCTAGCCAGTGACAGTTACCCGGCAGCCAAAGCCGGGCATTTTTTTTCTGCTTGCAGCTTGGGAATGGAACACCCCAGGCTGCTGTCCTTGACTTTAGGCTCCATCTCTCTCC